ATTATTATTATTATTATTATTATTATTATCTCCAGATTTTTACTGAAATCTCCAGACTTTTTTACATCAGTCTCCAGATTTATGGTGTTTTGAGGTTGAGAGGTCTGCATAATTAAAGATCTCTCCGTTAAATTGTTGGCAAAATGATGTTAACTTGTGAGTACCGTTACAAGCTCGTTGCGTGCAAATTATAAAGAAAATCTGGTGACTGAATTTTCTACAAAGAAACAAAACCGATTTCAATTGCCTGTTTATATCTATCTATGTCGCCATGGCAATGGCACATACGTCAGCCCAGCTATCAAAAACACAAAGTTTGTGTTGTTAACTTGCTTGCTGCCATTTTTGGCGACCGAGAGATCAAAGGTTTTAGAGAAAATCGTGAAAGAAACAAAGGTATCAAAAACTGTGTTCAACCACCTTAACTGACTAACGACAACGGTCGAAAAATGTAAATGACCACCGAAAACACGCGAAAAAAAATACCGATTAGTGACAGGTAAATACTAACTGACAACCGACATAGTCCGACATGAGCGATATTTGTATTCAGAAAGAAGAGCATTCTGGCCTAGGAGGTAACAACTTCAATTCAAGATTCAATTAGTGATCAGAATTTCCTGTCATTCAAGTTACTTTCTGGCAGGGTAGGAGTGCGGGCTCATTTTTAGAACAGCGTCTGGTACTCGAGCCCACGAACTACCCAACGAATATGAATAGTTAACTAGAATTCTTAATTTTTAACTGAAATTTAGCGACTACTCACAAAGATCGAAAGTTTAAACCGAATACCGTCAAAGTAGTGAAATTCCAACCGACAACCGACTCGAAGACCCCCTATTTAGACCTTTTAGAATACACTGGTTAAAATACAAGATTTCGTTGTGCTGTTATCGTGAGCCTCGGATATTTCTTTGTAATTTGGGCGAACACAACAACAAACGAGCACGTTTTACACTAAGCATAATTGATTTATTTACTTACTAACTTTTACTACATTTGGCATTTATCACATCGATTAGTTTTACAACTTATTTCTTTTCTCCTAACCTGCTACTTTGCAACTTATTTGTCATAGGCTAAGAATTGGCAGCTCCTCATTTAAAATCCAAAATGGCAGCCCGCCTGAAAATAAAAACTATTCAAGATAATTAGCCATCCCCTAGGGAAGGAGTCAGAGGATTTTGGTTCAGTCAGAATGAGATTCATCTGATTCCCCGAAATAGAGGCGCGAGAACGAGGCTAAGCCAACCCTGCTTAGCCTCATTCTCGCGCCTCACATCCATCTTTAACATATAAGAACTCGGAAATGGGAATCATTAAGATTTCAGTGAACTAAGTGTCCTTTCATTTCTTAATGCTTGATCTTTAACGGACATTTAGTGAGATCGCTTCTAATAATCTGGTGCCCAGCGTTAACGAAACGTAGGATCCTTACAAAAACTCAAACTACACTTTGAATGCCCACCATACCTCTACCTTTTCGATTTTGAATCATTATGGGATAGAGAGTCAAGAACAAAACAAATAGACTCTCTTCAGAAAATCAAAAGCCAAAAAAAAATTATAGTCTCAATGCAAATAAAATGATCACCGAGCTCCTAAAATCCTATTTGTTGGGAGTATAAGTATGCAAATCTCATTAGAATGAAAATTCAGTTAATTGTAAAGAAGAGTCATCTCGACTAGTTTTCATTGACAATTTGGTTTTATCAACTGAGTTCAAAAAGTAAATTAGCCACCGCAAAGAGCCTTCTAAAGCTAACATTTGGAGCGTTTGCCCTTCGGCCTTCGGCAGTAACTAATTGCGGTTAGGTTCCATCCGGGTCGGTTTTCATCCGGGTCCGATTTAATCCGGGTCAGTTTCCATCCGGGTTTCCTACCCATGGGTAATTTGGTGGACACGACGGGGCGCAAGTCTTCATCACGGGCGAGCCCTTGGCTTGTGGATAGTAACAAGTTTTGCAACTACCGGGAGGACAATCGGCTGGGGGCTGAGAATCGCATTTCCATGGAGCAAAGTCCTCAATAATTCTAAGTGACGTGGGAGACTGAATCCACTCTAGAGCTTGGGAAACCGTGACTATCCATACGTCGCTCATGGACGCCAATTTCTTGAGAAAGCTTACGGTTCCTATCACGAGAAAAAGATCAATCAAAACAAAATTTAAAAAAATTGAATAGAGAGAAACTTTTAGGCAAATAGCATTAGTCACTACCATGACTAATACCATGAGCGTTATCAACAGCAGTTCTTAGGGGTTTTCATAGAATGCAGTGCCGGCGTATATATTGAGGCGAAGAAATATTTTCCGAGGGAGTAGATGTTAAGTGGAAAAATAGGTAAGGGGGGAGAGGGAGGGGAAGGAAAAAATACCGGCAAATATTTCCTCGCCCCAATCCTCCACAGTTACCAAATCTAAGATGGCGGACTAATACGAAAATGTGCACTCGTGCGCCCAAAATACGCCGGCACTGCAGGCTAGGGTTTTCATCATCTGCGCGAAGTCTGAGATGAGATGGGCAAGCTCAAGCTAAGGGAACGTACCATGGGCGAGCCTCTTTCGTTAACATCACAGCGCACAGTAGGGTCTAACTTTAAAAACCGTCGTGGGATAAATTAATATGATCTTAGATTATATATCAACTCTTCCCAACTGTCACGATTTCGTCAGACAGGTTCTAAAAATAGCCTGTTAAAGTTCAATTAATTATGGCCGTGAAGATTCATACAGAGCGAAATGAATTGAGGGGTAGCGCTATCAATCTTTCGTAATTAACGTTGTCAAATAGCCTTTGCACAAGGCTTATCCAAAAATATGTTTATTGATAGTATTCATTCCATACACTTGTCCACATAAAAGTGACCTTCTGATTATTCCCGAAAGACATAAATCCCGTTTTTCTGGAAGTCATGGATTAAGAATGACGACCACTAACTATAACTTGCAATTTTCGATTTCCGAGTCGGAAATTCGTAGGCGGTCGGAAGTCGAAAATTCGTAGTCGGAAATCGAGAGTGAAAGTCGGAGGTAAGAGGTCGGAAGTCGGAAATGGAAAATCGGGAACTGGAAGTCGAAATTCCGTTCTTGGCCTTCATATAAAGATGCCCCACTTTAACTCGGAACCTACCTTTGTAGTAAGTGCTGTTAGCGAGCCATTGTTCCTCTAAAAGCATTTAAAAGGGAGCTCTGTTGGTGGTGTAGTGGCGCTCAAAGTTGGAATTGAAGAGTTCGTAAGCCTCCTCAACAGTGTTGGGGGGAGTGCAAGATTCCACGAAATTGCAAAGGATGCCCTCCTGGTCGATGTAGTCTACCAATGGCACGTCCCATAATCCCGGGAAAGAACCTACAGATTAGATTTTAAAAAAAAATGAGAGAAAGAGCTAAGACGATCGTGTGGTATGAAAATTTTGCCGAGTTTTATTTTTAATTTTTCAGTACAATTTTTTTCAATTTTCGCCATCTTGATTTTTACCCAGTACTCACCTCGCTCCCCCGAAGACCCACAAAACGGGTAGTTTGGTTCCAGCGTGATTCAATTTTTTTTTCGAAGCGTATCTCAGTTGAGCGTCGTAAAAGCAAAGCTAAGAAATAAGAACGACTAGGACTGGGATTGTTATACTAACCCTTTAGACCTTTTATACATAAATATTTATATTCCCCTCACTTTTCTCTCTATATTTCCTATTGTACTGACAAGGAGAATTTGTTTGACAATCAGGAGCTTCTTAAAGAGGGCCTCAATGGGGTTAACCAACAAAAGCGTTATGCAAGTAAGCATATTGGCCATTGTTTCGGAATAAACCCTGTCACGCGACAAACTTGTCAATCCCGGATTGTCAGACTCACAAATATTGTGGTCTGCGGCTGACACCTCTTGATATAACACATGATCGACAGTCAAAACCATTCTGCCTTCATCTACAGGGAATGACGCACACAATGGCTAATGTGCTTTCTTACATTACGCTTCTGTTGTGCGCCATAGCCATCAACGAGGCCTGTAAATGTAGAGTGCCACATCCACAGACTCAATTTTGTAATGCAGACTTTGGTAAGGTTTAACCTGTTTACTGTTTACTGCATCTAACTGTTAGTGTTTTGTCTGGGCGCTTTACGACAGCGATTTGTTTTCCTCGCGACATGGTGACACCGCACAACACGGACAACTTTTAGGATGATTCATTTATATCGCCATTTTTCACTAGATCTACACGTTACTTGACATGGGATGCTAAACTACTGAACTACCTCGAACAATTGATTGAAAAAAGCGTCTCTGCATGGTGTGTTGCGCACAAATTATTTCGGCTGTTGGCCATGTGTCTTCGCAACGCAACATCATCAGCAGAAGAGCTTAATTGAACGGTTCACCCCATATTCAACGGTCGGTTGATAAGCCTTTGCAAGTTTTTCAAATGAAGCTTCGATTTTCATACTCTGATTTTGGATAAGGACGACTTTGAAGCAGTGTTTTCCTCGAATTGGAAGCTTTATCTCTTCCATTTCTCTAAAAATTCCGCTTTAAGATTGAAATCTGAAATGGAATCAAAAGTAACTTTTTAAAAAGTCCGATTTGTTTTTCTTTGTCTTCCCGTTAAGATACTTTAGAAGAGTGCACCTTTTAGTTTTTCCAGCACGTAGACAAAGGAAATAAATTGTTTTTAAAATGATCTTATTTGTGAAATACGTAGAACAGTGGGAAGCCTTAAGTACAGCATTAGCAAAATGCTTTTGTCTGGGCAAAAGTTTGAGTTAGTCATTTCAAATCGGCACGAGTGTGAAACTTTTTTATGCTCACAAAGACATTTATCGGCTTAACAAAGTTCGTAGAAACTACTGCGCGGTATAGCATTCGGTATCAAACTGATAGGACAGGTTTGAAAACAATTGACAACTGTCACAGGTTTACTTGACTAAAAATATAAGTTATTTGCTAAGTAATTTCGTTCAACTTAGTAGCCTGTAATCACAAATAAGCAAGTTTTATAATAATCAAGTTTTACAATATTGGAGACGCCAGACAATGAAGTTTGCACTTATGGATCAGAGCTAATAATTCGTGATGGCATTCGGAAACTGCATCCCGCAATAAAAATAATCCACCATAGATTAGAGGCCATAAAGGTTAGTTTTGACAGAGGAATAGACTTCAAAATGACCTCTATGTTGACATAAGTTATTGTTTAGACACGCTGAGAGCTATGTGCGGAAATCGATGTTTGTACAACGCGGATGTTGGAAATGTTACTTACCACAAATTATTAAGGTCAACCAATGCAATCAGTTCGGGTTCAAGGTGAAAGATCTACAGTTACACGGCAATGCCTATGCAGATCTCAGATGATTTCTGAGCCATTTGTTTTCAAGGTTGCTTGTTCAAGAATAACAATTACCAGACACAATTACAACAGGCGAAATTGCAGCCAAGAACGATGCAACATGGTAAAACAGTCCAAAGCGTTTCATGCATTTGTGTGCCTTTGAACCTATACCTTTATGATGGGGAAGCAATAAGACGAGGAACAGGCCACTTTACACTCCCCTCTTTTCATCTATTTTCCCGTATTTCTCTCTCTTCTAATCTTTTTTTATTCATTTCTCTCTTTCCACCACATTTTTCAGTCCTCCCCCCCGCATTTTTGTCCTTCCCCATCTTTTAACTATGCGTGCATCCCTTTTTGTGCGAATCAACTCAGATCTAATCAAACCGAAAAAAATAACCATGACGTCCGAATTGAAAGTCATACAATAAAACCACATGTCTGACTCGGATGCATCTGTGCGAGAGACAAAGGTGTTCGGTTAATTTGTTAACCACTTGTTTCCTGTCTCTTGTGATAAAATTAGCTTTTACATCATGTCGTGAAGGTTGACAATGCCAAGCTTTCTGCTTGTAATCGCTCTTAGAAGAGCTTTCGTCTTCTGACAGTCGTCATGACTTCCGCTCAGGTTTCCGAAAAGTCTGTACTCACCGTCGTCGACAACAGCACGTTCTAGTACTACACTCGTGTGAAAATCTTACCTAGTCTGAATTTCAGCCGTCTCTTCCCTTTACCCCGCGACCCCCTTGGGGAGCAGCAACAGACAGGTCACCGGAACTTTTGTCAGTGTTAAATTTCAAAATTACGTACCTTTGTGCAGACAATCATTAATCCCAACATCTCAATTGTAACTCATCTTATTGTTTGCCGCACAATTCTTCTGATGTTAGTTCAGAAATAAAATATAAATTAAGGGATTATTAGTTGATCCTACAGCGAATTCTCGAAACTGCCATCATAAGAATCGTATGGTAGATGGTAAGGAGAATTACTGATGAGATCTTTGGCGGAGAGGGTAAAAATAACTTAGTAAAACGAACCTAGTGTAATACATTAACAATGCTATGCTTCTCCGATCCCCAGCAATTCGTGCCAAAGTTTTGAGGGAGTCGCTGGACGGAGACCAAAGAATTTACACACTCCGAGTCCTACGAACCTTCAAAGGTGATTCAACAATCGGCCGCTTGGCCAGGACTCAAGGCAAGGGGAAGAAAACGAAAAGGGTGATAGATGTCACAACAAATAGCGATACTGCTGCCTGTGGCGTGCGTCTCGACATTTCGAAAGTCTACCTTATACTCGGTGACGTAGGAACACGCACAGACAGGCAGGTGTTAACAATGCACAACTGTCCACTACAGTCTTTGTGGCGAGACATCACTGTGCAACGACGCCGCGGGCTCAAGTCAGTTTACGGACGGAACTGCCAATGCAAAATTGAAAAGATCTGTTACAAGAGTCCTCCGAGCTTATGCGACAATATGATTGGTGGGTGCGACAAGCCGGCTGCTGACAGTCGGGTGACCTATTGCCGAGGCAAGCATTCATATTGCGCTAAGACTGGTGACAAGTGTAGGTGGATCCTTCCAAGAAGAGCTGATTTCCAAAAATGCTTGCAAGAGTGAAAAGTTTATGCCTCAACATGGCCAAACGGAGCCCGCTTTCAATACTTCGAAATAGATTCCTGTAGACATTTAAGCGCAGAAAGGATGTTCATCGATTGATCCGAACCCTTAAAATGCGATTGATGTAGTTCCCCCTTTCATAGTAGTTGCTATATATTCTATTGCAAATTAGTTGTGTACTTGGAAAAATAACGAAATAAAATGCCTGCCTATACAAAAATGTTTCCATGTTTGAATAGAGAACAGTATGGAGAATATTTTTACTGATTTTAGGGCGTAAAGAGTTAAACGAAATATTTTACTTACTAGTCGGGCAAGGCTGGATAACACAATCTTGGGTTGATAGGTAATCTAACGTATAAGGCCACAAAGGTGGTTCAATGAAGTTTTGAGTAGGCATCGAAGACTCGTACAGGAAACCCAAGTCCCGAAGTACACCGAACTCCGTGTTTCCGCCAACCTGAACGTAGGGTGCCCTGTAACCTTTAATCTCCTTCACTTGGACGTTGCCCCATTTGCGTAAAATCTCTCTCATGCCTCCTATCTCCTGCATCTGTTCTTCCTTGGTTGCAGTTGCCCACCAGCTTTGTGGAAGACGACGGGAAATGGAGTTATCAGCGATTTCGTGGCGTTGGTGGTACAACGTTTGCAGCATGCAATAGTTCGTGAACTCGTGCGACACGAAAAATGTAGCAGAGATGTTACATCCATTGGGGTTTTTCAATGTACCATCGAATAGCTCTTCGTAAAGAGGAAACGCATTGTCAACCACAGCGGCATCAAATGAGATCATTACAATCTGAGGTGTCGACGACAGGGATAAATTGCCAGGGATTTTGGTTCCGCTGCAGAAGCAGTCTGGTAGTTTGCAATCGTCTGGGTTGCATAGATCAGTTGAATCCACCGCATTGGCTTGCAAAAACAAGACAAGAAAGGTGGTAAGAGGAGCGAAAATTCCTGAAGAAGACATGACTGCACTGTGTACTTTTCTGCAATGACCTTTTCTCAGAAAAGCTGCTCGCTTGGACCCGGTCGAGACAGTCGAAATTCCTGATGATCTAATGTGTTTATTTTTACCTTTCTGGTTACACGTCATACGTCATTTTTGACTACAGGAACTGTACGAGTAAAGTTCCAAAAATGAACGCCTTTAAAGGCTTTTTTGAACTCATTACGAGTAAAGAATCTGGTTAAGAAAGCAGACAAAATTTGCTTTCTCTAAATTGTTCCGTATATGTTAGATTCTTGCAATAATGTAGACTCCGATCAATGGCGTGATGTAATTTAACTGACCTTCACTAACTCCTTATTCCTAGAAAGATTGAACGAATGGTGATTTATTTCATTCTTTTCGTCACCTGCTTTAGTTTTTATAGGAATAGAAATATTTCACGCAGTTACGTTTATTACGGTTTTTTTTGCCTTGTCTTTCCAACTTTCCCTTGAAGTAGCCTCAAAATTTGGATTCATCACCCGCTAGTGACGATTGCGTGAGAGGTGCTCAGATAATTGGTTACTAGAACTAATCTGGGCATTCGATAGATCGAAGAAACTTGTCAAATTGGTAGTAATTACGAAGTAATCACGGCGTTTATTGGTTATAAAAGGCGTAAATTCAAGTCTGCACGTGTTGCGAAACTATCACGAAATTCAGGAAATAGAGAAAAATATGCGAGACGCCCTAAGTGACGTCACGGGACAGTGGGTTGTACCCTGAAACAGAACTTAAGTCGGGTATAAATCAGTGCGACTTGTACCGACTGTGTCTTTGAGTCACAGCTAAGATCGAGAGAGGACCATTTAACAGTCAACAGCTCAGAGATTTTAAAGATCATGTCGTGGCAAATCAAAGCAGCCTTCGTCACGGTTCTGATTTTGACGTGTGTGCAAAGTACCACCGGAGCAGTCCTAAAGTCTCGTGGACATGAACCAGCTCGGCCATGTTCACCAGACATTTGCAAGCCTCCCGACTGCCGTTGTAGCGGAACGGACATTCCTGGAAATCTTCCACCAGCGAAGGTTCCCCAAATGGTTATGTTGACCTTCGATGATGCTGTAAATAACCAGGTGGACGGTTACTATAAGGAGTTATTTAAGGATGGCAAACTGAAAAATCCAAACGACTGTAACGCAATGGCTACATTCTTCGTGTCGCACGAGTACACGGAGTATCAAATGGTCCAAGCTCTGTACCACAACAGGCATGAAATTGCAGATCATACCATCTCACACCGAATTCCCTCTTCCTGGTGGAAATCAGCAAATTACAGTCAGTTGACAGATGAAATTGCGGGACAGAGAGAAATTTTAAGGAAGTGGGGACAGGTCGAGGCAGATGACGTCGTTGGATTCCGTGTACCCTTCTTACAGCTCGGGGGCAACACAATGTTTCAAGTTCTCTATGATAACAAGTTCCTGTATGACTCGTCCATGCCAACCCAGCGTTACATGGATCCGCCGATGTGGCCGTACACTCTGAATTATCGATCGACGCAAGAGTGCGTTATTCCACCATGTCCCACAGGTGAGTAAACCGGTACTTCAATTGCATTTCATGCGCCGATCAGTTCGAAGCTTCAACTTTCCCCCGGACATCACACGGCATTTGAATGTCGTCCGTTCCTGGGAAGTGGGGAAATGTGAACCTTGCCAGGGTGGGGTAGGGAACTTGAATCGGAACTGTCAAGTCGTAACTGACAAGTCTGATCCGTGTACCTGTTATCTTTTAATAAGGAATTAATAATTAATAATTAATTTAATAAGGTTTAAAGATAAAGAGTTCACTTTCGCGAGCAGATGGCTCAGAAGAAAAACTTCATAAGAAAGTCACGGTCACCGCAACTGATCTTGCCTTGCGGCTATTGGGTAGAAAATGAGTCTTCGAATTGATCGACGCATTGCCAGCCCGACTGGTGGTGGGCGAGAGAGCCTGGAGAAAAATACACTATGCTCCTCCGTTGTTCCAGTCCCCTGAACTCGTCTGATTTGCCTAGTGATTCTCAGGGTTAGATGCTTTGGTAAATATATTTTTGCCAATGATAACTTAAAAAGACTCGTATGCTCACGAGGTCAGTGAAATAGAGATAAAACAACAATAGACAAGCAAGCCGTACTTGGACGAGAAGGACTGGTGTCCTGTGTCAGTCTGGCTGGCCCTATCTCGCAGAGTTTTTCTCTCGTCCCTGGAGAGGACAGTAGGTACAATCTTATGTTTGGTATGTTTTTTCTTACACTGTGCTTTGTTTGTAGATTCATTTCCTGGCCTTTGGGAGGTTCCTATGATCGATTACAACGATTCACGAGGAAATCCATGCAACATGATTGACGGTTGCTACCCACCAGCCAATGCGCAAGAAGCATATGATCTACTATTGACGAATTTTGAGCGACATTATACCACTAACAGGGCACCGTTCCCCATGTTCATGCATGCTAAATGGTTTGCAGAGTACCCTTATACTATGTCTGGTAAGAATATCTTGCAAGTATCCAAGAGATAATGAAAGAAATCAGTATCTGAGCAACAGCGCACCCACCCCTCCCCTAACCCAACGACAGTGAACTGATAACAAGTTAGGGTTAATGTTGGATACGAGGGGAGGCGCGGTGGGGGAGGGGAGGAGGTTAAGTGCGCAGTTGCTCAGATACCGACGTTAATCCTTGATCTGGACATAAAATCATTTGTCTTCATTGAAGGATTTGAATGCAGGATGTCTTGGCCTTGATTTTTTAGATCGCAAGATCTCGATTGTTATCATTCATTTCTTTGCTAGTTAGAGAATTTGGCGTCATGGCGGTCAAGGCCATATCCCCTGGTTGATAATTTGGATCAATAACAGTATCTGAGTAACTGCACCTCCATCCTAACCCAACATTAACTAATATAAATGTTTTATATTTCCACTCACAGCGATGAAACAATTCCTCCAGGACATACTTGCTCGTGGAGACGTCTGGATGATTGGAATAAAACAAGTGATTGAATGGATCAAATCGCCAACCAGTCTTGACGATATCGAAAATTTCGCCCCGTGGAAATGCGACCCGCCTTCTCCGCCCCCGGCCTGTGCCACCACGAACGTCTGCGGGTTCCCGAATGACCCGCATTACTTGTACACGTGTACCCGCCCCTGTCCTGCGCACTACCCCTGGGTCGGAAACCCGGATGGAAATTAGCTTCAGAGCCAGTGTCCCGGATGAAATAATGTGCTTGCTTGACATTTTTTTGATTGGAGCGAAAATAAAAATTAATCATTTTGATATTTAAATAACTGTGACCTAAAAGGACTTTTCTTAGTAGCTGGGGATTAATATGTAACTTGACAATTCTGGAATTAAGGAAGTATCGAATAAATTGACGTGTTTTTTTTTGTTTTTGCCTTTTTGACGCAGAAAAAAAGGTTAAGAGATATCTTTTTCTCTTATTTGTTTATGAATTTTTTTTTTTTTTTAATAAAGGAGCGTTTTCGAGAATTTGATGGTCTCGCGTCTCTTCTTTTCTTGGATTGTGAATATTCACGCGAAAATTTATTCGATTACGTGCTTCATTGCCGCTCTTGAAAGAGTTTTGTTGAAGGCCTTTGTGAACAACTTTGGGAGACATAGCCAGGAGTACTTTGGGAATTAAACTCTTAACCCAAAATCCTCTAAATCTATTGAGCTGCGGAGCGTGGTTTACTCAAGGCTTACTTGGCAAAGGGTTTGCGTGATTAAAATTTTTAACATATTGTTCATAATTGAGGTATTGCTTTTCAACCAATCTTATTGGTCCATAAGTTAGCGCCTTGACCCATGACATCATGTTGCTAGCGTCACGTGATTGACAACAAGCAAGAGGACAATAAATAAGTGCTTGACGACGCTGAGAGCGATTTGACCTAAATATTACGCTGAAGTGTCTTCAAAATTACCTGCTTTTTTTTGCCAAAGTATGACTTTTAACTGCTCCTGCTGAGAAAGCCTAACAATGTCGGCTCATAGTGGCGGTCTTCTGCCTCCGGACGAAGTAAGAGTTACGCTAAATTTTTCGACCTTGAATCGGCGTGTAGATTGTGAAATTGAGCAACTTCTTCCTTTTGTTCAGTTGGCAGATTTACACATTTTTGTCGTTCCCTTGGATCTGTGGCTCGAAAAATACCGTACAGCCTTTAACAACATTGCGTTGGAGTCCGTTTCTGCTGGATTTGTCCGGTAATTATAACGTTTTGTCCTTAACCGGGAAGAAGTAACTCGGCAATTTTGTTATTGTCAAGTGTCTGAAATGCCTTACATTTCACAGTGAAACGTTTTCTTCGGTCTTTTCCAGCTCATCGGAAGTGTTTTGTTATTTCAACAGGGTTCAGCCGTATATTTCTTTGAACTATCTACGAGATCACATCGAGGAACAACTAGGACCAGAAATTGTTCCAGAAGACTACATATTCCTAAGATCTGTTGGAAGATGTATGGCCGTGGTAAGAAATCGAATCTAACAGAGATCAAAATAATTTAGGATTCGTAGACTATGAACTAGAAAGCTTATTAAAATTCTAGATTTGTTTTCAGGGGCACACAAATCATTCTTTTGTAAGGTTTCCGTGAGATAGGCGAGGATGAGAGAACATTCCAAATCGAGTTACGTAAAGCGAGTCGAATTGAGTTCATTGTTTCTATCTCGTAATCTTTTACGCGTTAATTTTGGTCGATTGTGTTTCTTGCTTCAAGTAATGATGCAGAAAACACCTGCCGACTGAAAGGAAAATAACTTGAGCTGTAAATTGCCTCTTCATTTTACTTTTTCGGTCTGTTAAATTATTGATGGCGCCATATTATTTATGGCGTTGGAAATTTGCAATTGCAATTTTATTGAGCTTAGTCTCAGCGGGACAGGTGAATGTCAGATGTTTTAGTAATAAAAAAAACCTTGACGTTTGAAAGCTTTATTCAGCTTTCCTTTGTTGACCTTGGTTCTCTCAGCTTTCATCACTGTCATATGACTCTATCTCTAAACGATCACTTGGTTAGGATTCTCTTGCGAGGATTGAACTATTTCGTTCGGATATTGTTTACAGTGTTACCTTATCTAAGATGTAAAATTTCAAATTTATTATAATAATATATTTGTTTTTTGTTGAGAAAGGTTCCTCTCTCGATAAATGATAGTCTTCCTTTGCGAACTTGTTTTCAGTTTTTCCTATATGCATACTTTTTTCCCTTTTTTGTTGTTTTGTGTGAATAAAATCACCGATTTCATCAAGAATCGGTATAAAATACGTGTACATGCAGGTATGGGTTTGTAAATTTTTTTGGGGTTTTTTACTCATCATGAAAAGGGTAAAGGTAAATTTTTATTCGCTATTAAATTATGTGGCTTTTGATATCTGACAAATAATTTGCAACAATGTGATAAACTTTCTTACTCTATAATCAATAAAATGCTGGTTTATTTTTAGGTCAAAGAAAATCAAGAGCGTTTGCTCAAAGCTAAGGACTTTTTACCCCCTGTGGTAAGCTGACTGCTGTGTTTGTTTTTTCTTACCACCAATTTGTCGTAAAATGTACTTTTATACAATTTTTAAGCAACAATGCTTCAAAGTGGTTGAAATAATTTGTACCAAATATATTAGAGAAACTATATTGAGAAAGAGAATTAGGCTCTGACAACATGCTACTGCAGTGTCCCACTTAATTCAGGAATTAAATTAGGCAAAGGCACAGTACCCAAATTAAACTTTTTATTAACTCTGGCATGTCGAAATTCAATAATTCAAGGGTATGTCATTGGATTTTGGCTGGATTTTCACTTCTGCAGGGAGTTACAAGAATAGATTAAAACACTAGATTAACCTTTCTATTCGGGATCAGCACAGATTGACTTTTGAACAATTGCACCCTGATCTTTCATTTTGATGTGTGAGTGGATGTATACTGAGTATTATATTAATGTTAAGGAGTGCTGTCTTGTTACACAGGCCTATAGCCCAGAAATTTTTATCCTTCCTGGAACACATGAAACTTTTGCAAGACCAGCAGAGAATGCTACTAACACCATTATACAAACTCATGGCTTCACAACAGGTACATGTAAGTTCACATAAAATTTGCATATTGTGATTGGCTGTTTTTTTCTCTACTTTTGATGAAAATTATTATGAAACTTAGTAATGCTAACAACTGTAGCACAGCAGAGTATTCTATAAGGTTTTCTTACTTTTGCATTAAAAGCTCAAAAAGGTCCAACTTGATTGGAATTGAACAGGAAATCTGACTTCCATAATTTTGAAAGTTGGCCATGGGGATCATTTGTTATATAATAAATGTTTTAATGAGGTCTTTCTAGTACCCCCTCAAGTCATTGAAATGTATTGAGCAAAAAACAGATTTGGATTGGTTTATTGATCCTCTAATGCTAGAGGAAGTTTTGGAAGTTCTATTTAGTAGAGGGGGGGGGGTTCTCACACAAGACAATTGCACAGCATAGGCCATTTAGATGTCATTGTGTTCTAATATTGAAGACGGTTTTACCTATGCCCACTTTCTTGTAGCTGGTATGGCGTCAATTCAGCCTCATCAGCTACCACCTGCAGGGCACATTCAAAATCCTTTAGTTCATCAAAATGTACTGCCAGGTGGTTATAATCTCCCTCATCAATCTGCGACACAAGGGGAGCCAGTTGGTTCTCTCAATCGCGTTGAAAAAAGTAGCAGATCTCAGAAATCTGTTTCAGAAGATGAGGGAAGCAGTGACCATGAGAGAACACAAGATGGTGGAAATCAAGAGAATGACAAGAGGCGGCAGTCGTTAGAAGATAGAAGTGATGGATCCTCTGAGAATGACAGTGGATTAGTGGATGATAGGAGAGAACGTAAGAAAAAACAGAAAAAGGAAAGTTGGAATGAACAACAGGAAGACAAATCTTCTCTTGTTGCATCCAAGTTGAAAAAGAACAAAATGCAAAAGAAAGGAAGCAGTGGTTCAGATGGAAGTAATCAATTAGAAACAAAAACTGTGAAGTTTATTCAACCAGAGGTGTATCAGACTCTGCCTGTTCCTGGTCAAAATGGGGCAAGGGTTTCTACCCCAACACCTATTCCATCTGGGCGTGTCATTTCATCACCATTTCCTGGCCAAGAGGCTGAACTAGTCACAGTTCCTTCTGGAAATGTGAACTCCGCTGATATAAATGTAAGTAATAATAATCCAAGTGGTAAAGTTGATGAGAAAGGTGCAACTCATGGAGATAGAAAGAAGAAGCCAGCTGACTCCAAAGGAGGGAAAAAGAAAAGGAGAGACAGATCACGATCACCTTCTGTTGAGCGAACTCAGCCTAAAGAACAGAGTGGTCAAAAGGAAGGTAGTGGAGATGTTATTTATGAGGTTACCAATGATTCAGCTGTGTATGGTGAAGTGACTATGAGTCGTGTAGATACACCTCCAAGTTTAAGTGAAGTGGAAGAGAGATCCAAATTTGTTCAGTTCCCTTCTCCAGCAAAAGGAGCAAGAAGGCCGCCATTGCCTGATGAACTGGAGTATGGCAATGCTTTTACCAATGGATTACAAGACTTGAATGGGTAGGTTTTAAGTTTTGTTGTGTTTGACATGTAAAAGCAGAAATCCAAAATCTCACATTATTTTGCTCTCAGATAGTACTTAATGGAATGTCTGACACCTGATTGTAAACTCTCTTCGTTCTATTTCTCCTTTCTTTCCCAAGCAGTGCTTTGTGTCCGGCCTTGCCTTCAAGAGTAGAGAATGGGCGCATTTTCTGAATTAAAAGGGTACATGTACATAGTAATCAAGAGACATAACACTATAAGTACCTGACTCCCCACCTCTGAAAATGTCATAAAAAAGTCTCATATCCTGCAAGATTCTAAAGATTTACATTTGCCAATGTTACCATACCCACGACACCATAATCATCATAATATCATTTCTTCACACTCAAAGTCTAACTTGATTTTAACTCTTAGGATTTGTTGTGAAATTAGACATTCCCTCTTCTTAATATGGGTTTCAAATGCCATCAGTTGTCAGGTTGATGATGTATTAATAAATTAAGTTAGATTTATACTGTATGGTTGGGAGAAATAGATTAGTAGGTGCTCCCCCCACCCCTCCCCCTTTGGAATTGGGAATGACTTACTGTTGGGTAAATGGGTATCATGCAGAGCAGGAATTGACAGGTACAGCTGTATTTGTAGCTAAATCTCAAGAGGTGTGATTGCTTAATTAGCCCTTACACTTCCAGATCTCATTAGTAATTCTCCCTACTTTCTGCCATTCAATTCTTATGATATTGGTAAGGAGAATTTGGCATTGGATCAACTAATAATTATCCTAGTTGATGTTTTTCGTAATTCTCATTACTTGTATGCTTGATAATCTATTGATATTGTTGTGAGAAATTCTGTCCTGGTCACTCATGGGAATCAAAGGGTTTAAGGCAAAATTAAGCTTTAATTAATCTCCTTTAACTTAGCATCACTCAGCTACAAAACATGTACATCCTAACTTACGTGTACATGTACCTGAGTGCTTGTTACACTAGCTAGTCAAGCACAGGTATTAATATGGACTTTTAACCCTCTACACCCTAAGATCAATATTTATTTTCTCCATACTGTCCTCTATATTTTTCCCATGCCACTGACGAGGAGAATTTGTTTGACAATCAAAGGATTCTCAAGTTGATGATTACTTCCTTAATTCTTATGAATTTTATGTTTGATTTAGCAAAGATACTGTTTGGAGAAATTAGATGGTGATTACTCTTAGGGGCTAAAGAGTTAAGAAGAAGAGCTCTGGTCCGGGTTGTTCCTTGAAAGCACGGTTAAGATAACCCAGGGTTAGCGTGAAATTTGATTGCAGATCTGAAAGCTTTAAAAGAAAACTCAGTTTGAATCTCTATGTCTGCAATTTGATGATTGGATGTTCTGAAAAGAAAAGGGAAAATTTTCCTCAGATAGAGAAACCTGGGCCCTGAGTTTCACACAAAAAATGGTACATTAGAAACACAAAATTATCTTTTTTTCAGGCGTAATCTGCATGATAGTGAAGACAATTTGGATGACTATCATAATGGTAATGAACAGCAAGGACTGGCTGCAGAAGGAAATAGCAACAATGATCAGATGGGATTCAATGATTCAGAACTAAATGATGAGAAGGATAGTTCGAGGGACACACAGCAGGGTGCAGAAGGAAATGTTGGTGCTTCAGGCAAGGACAATAGTAAAATGAATACAAAAGACAATGCAAAGAAAATTGGTGTGAAACCAAATGCTACAAAAGGAAAAAAAGTTGTCAAAAAACCTGCTAAAAAACCTGTGGAAAATATTGAAGACAAATTCAAAATCCCTCAGCTTCCTAAGGCCCCCACCCCACCACCCATGAAGTACCCCAAGAGGGGTAATAAGGAACTTGAAGCAGACACTGCATCGGCTAAGGAGAGGAAACGCCTTGAGTTAGAGGAATTGAAAGCCGAGTTACGAAAAGCCAAGTCTACCAGGGTGGAGATGGAGAAGGAGAGAGAGTCAAAAGTGCGAAGAGCCAAGATGTTGCAGAATCAAATGATGCAGAAAAGGAATCAATGTATGTGAAAATTGTTATTATTTTGGTGTTCATAGCTCTTCTCCATGACACCTCTGTGGTCCTGCACTTCTTTAGGGCAGGTCAGTGGAGCAATTAGCCATTTTCTTAATAGTTTCGTTTTCCTAAAGTTTTTTAAATCCAAGTTTTTTTTTTTTTTTTTTTTTCACTAATGTTTAAATGTACCAAGGAAATTTAAATACCGCAAAGCCCATGTTGGCTTAAGAAGGCATAACAAAAAAGGATCTTAGGAATTATAGTCAAATGACATCGTAATGCGGGTGTCGACGGAAGTAGCAATGTCATTAACACTACATGTACATGGTATAGCAAAAGCCACAATTAGCATACTGGCCTACAGGAAGGAAGAGACGAAGTCAAGAAGTCCGTTATTAAATGATGTACATGTGGAGCACACGTGAATGAAGAAAGGTTGAGGTTGAGGAGGAAAACTCGCTCCTCTTCGGCGAAGTCAGTTGCGCAAGTTAGAAAATACCAGTGTAAGAAAAATGTTTCGCTCTGACGAAAGGGCTCACGCTCGAAACGTCAGCTTTGAAACTCTTTACGGTGGCCAATTTACATTATCAACTCAGGTAATAAAACCAAAATTACCTTGTTATTGCCAATGACGCAGCACCACAGTTTTTTAACTTACGCCCTTTATTAAGAAACATCGAGGCTAGCGAGGCGCGCGAAAAGTCCAGAGTTCTACGCGGTGCACCAACATTAATTTCTTTCCGCTGATTTTTTCTGAATCGCTTGGCAGACTTCGACGAAAAGGAAGGACTGCTTTTAGTCCAAGGGAATAAGTGGGCCAGTTGGTTTTCGAAAGTGTTTTTGAAGAGAGCATCAACAGTAGACGGATTCCTCTCGTGAAAAAACTGTTTTCTTCCCGTCTTCTGTGGTTTTTTTTGCCTGCATATATTAACCTTGACTTTTTTACGTGCAGCAAAGAACATTTGGAAGAAGAAGTTTTTTGAGGAGAAGAGAAAAACAGCTGCACTGGAGGAACAAGTTAACAGACTAAGACATGAGGTTGATGCTCAACACAAGACTCTGATGTCTTACTTGGAAAGTAAAGGTACTTGATTTTTATATGCTTTTCATGATTTGTAATGAAGGTGGAAAGTGTTTAAAAATTGCGTTGGTTTTGCTTGACTTCACTCTTTGAGTGGTCCAAAAAACTCAAGCTTCCCTTCAACCCGGCAATCATTTGCCAAACTGAATCTAATCGTGGGTTGTTGACTGACATCTTCTCCATTTTGTGAGGAGTCAAACTTGAATATATACTTCTGTTTCAGAACGAGAAAGTGGAAGACCTCAAGCTGGAGTGGACTTCAAGTCACCGTCTGAAAAGGTATTACAAGGAACATACTTCATTAAACGCCGTTTCTGTCCTCGATATTTTTACATTAGTAAAAAGGGAAATAATGAATTGAGTGCTTTCGTTTATTTATTTCTTTTTTACTTCACTTTGTGACTGATCGTTAAAAATCTTATCGCTGTCAATCAATAAGTTGTAAGCCAATCTTTACCCGGTCAGCCACGTTTTCCCGCCGCCAACGTTTTCCCGCGCTTAAAGCTAGTTAAACAGGTTTATTTTGAGTTCTCATTGGCTCCGTGTGATATTTGTCTTTGTTTTGATTGGCCGCTGTGATCATGTGTGTACTTTGTTTGTTCGCTGGTAGTTTTTATTGTCCTAGTTAAGTAGATTATACGAAGTATATTTTAAGTTTTTTCTCTCCATTCACAGACAAACCAACGCATGACTTTGGTACGGTTACAGCATGAGGTTGAAGAATTAAGGAGAAGAATTGAAGAACTGAAAGCTAAACTTACGGCCGAGATGAAGGTTCGATTCTTGCTGTCCTTTTTTCTTTACTTTGTTTTTTTTTTTTTTTTTTCGTCTTCCCTTTTTTCCTTCAATCGACCTATCGGTTTGTGCTGTACGTACCCCTTGAAAAAATTTGCTAAACTGATCTCGATGTTAATGTTTTCAGAATCGTGACGCCGCCCAGAAGGAGTTGAAACAAATTCGAGAAGATTTGATGGAGAAGAAGATCAACCTTACTCTGACAAAATCACAAAAAGGCCTGGCAACTCTGGCGAACCCGGAAAACATTGCTGTGTGATACGTTACGTGCGTGTGATTCGTTACGTGTTGTGACGCGTTATGGGATGAAATAGCTGCAGTGAAACCTCAAAGTTAAGATGTGTGTTATGTACGATTCCAAAAACGCCTAATAGCGGATAAAGAAGTGGGCAAGAAGTGTTGTGAAATAAAATTTTGTAGGTCACTCTGTTCAAAACAGTATTAACGTGTATTTATTTATTTTATCGATCATTAATATCTAAGAAGTGTATCATATATTTTTGACTAAGTGAGCCACTCGGCTTAAAACCATTATAGGTAGTTTTGCTATAGAAATATTATTGTGCCCTTGAATAAATTGTTATCGTTATTAAAATGTTTTTCGTAGTTCGTTATCACCCCCACTCCCCCCTCCATCTTGTCATTCATTTGTACAACTTCTGGACAGAACTGACTCTCTCTTGAAACAGCTTTCGGTGGAAATATTTTTTTATGTCTGTACCTTCGGGGTAGCAGCAATGAGCAGCACTAAAACTAATCTTAAGAAAAAGGATTTAAGATACAAGATTTTTATTAGACTTAAACATACTTCTTTAAGGAGTTTTGCTGAAAACAAAATTTTATCAAAATTTATCATTCATATATTTAAGAAAAATGTGTCGTTTTAAAACACCACAATAAAGTAAATATTACACAATGGTGGCGTAATGTTATTAAACAGATTTTGGCCAGGCGCCCAAAACCACAAGATGGGTTACGGGTAATCTAAGTGAAGTAGACGCTTGATAGTGTATATTTTGATGGAGTCAATTTTCAGCCCTGAAATTTGAAAGAGTTATTTTTTTCCCGAATGAACGAGAAAAAAGCCGAAGACATCGAGGCCCCCGTTAAACCACCAAAAGATGGCGAAGTTCCATATATTGTGGCAGAAAAACCAGCTGGAAACGAAAAACGGAAAAATGCTACGAAAGAAGGAGAGCATAGCAGGTCGCTTGACGAGCAAGTGAAACATTTGGAGCGCAAAATTCGCGCGTACAGCAAAGCTAAAGACAAAGTTAATGAAGGAGAAGCTCTGAGTAGCTTAGGAATATTGTATTACAAGGCAAACAGATTTGCTGAGGCTAAGAGCTGTCATGAAAGACATCTTAACTTAGCTAGAGCCATTCAAAATAAACGCGCCGAAAAGAGAGCATACTGTAATCTGGGTTGCACGTATCGAAGGATTGGTGACTTAGATAAAGCTGTTGAATGTTACGAGCAGGGCCTAAGACTTGTAAAGGAGCTGGAAGATAGACTCGGTGAAGCAAAACTCTTGAATAACCTTGGAAATATTTTTGAGCAGCGCTGTGACTTTGACCAAGCGGTGTACTGTCATCAAAAACGTCTGAATGTCGCCAAGGAGTTGAAAGATTTAGATGGCGAAAGCAAAGCTTGTGCGAGTTTGGGAAATATCTATCATTTACTGGGAAATATTCGAGAAAGTATCAACTATTACGAAAAGCTGGTGGCATGCTTAAAGTACAAGCTGGGTAAGTAGAACAGTGAGGAGATTTCTTAAGATGTTAGCGGCCAGCCATTTATGCAAATAACACTTTGTGTTTATAGTTGAAGAGCATTCGTAACAGGTATCAAAGAGTACAATTAATATTTCATAGATCTTTTAAAGCCGAGATATTTAAAGCACATTTAACTCTAATTTTAGAGAAATAAGGAGTGAAAACATTAAAAAAAAAAAAAAATTGCGGTAAAATGACGAAATTTTTAGACAAAGAAGAAATGAATTCGAATCTTACTCGGAGAGGAAACTTCTCGCCCCATCCCTTATTCATAATCAGATGTAAATTTCAGTCGACGTTTCGTCGTTTGACATACCAGAGCTTTGAATTTGACATTTACATCAATCAAACTGCATCCATTTGATAAGTAGCAGTCAGCACAAGGTCGCAATTTGCTTTAATATGGAGTAGACTCGGTCCACCATGCGAAACGTTTTAATTTTTTTGTTTTTTTGTTTTTATTATGCGCCATGTTACTTTATTTTAGACGTCAGTAAAAGAAACCATAAATTATCATTTTGAAATGATAAATCTTAAAAATCTTCGTAAATTATCAATGATATAAATTGTCTGGAAGACGTTTTGTAGGAGATTTTACTGTTTAAATTCGTGAGACATTGAAATGGAAAATAAAAATAAGCTTTCTCTATACACTGTCGAGTGTCTGTGAAGATTCATTTTTTGCCTTGACCTTTGTAAATGCTTCGTCGTTTCGTTTGCATTTCTTCTTTATATGATGGTCCCTCAAGAAAAAAAAAAGGGTTCCGATATGCAAAAGAAACTTTAAACCCTTAAACTCACAGAATTGGTAAATATGAAGAAATGGTTAGCACAGCTAGTGCGTATTTGATAGAGGAACAACAGGTCAGTGTTCACTTTACTTAAAAAAAAAAAGTATGGAGTAACACTGGGCTTAGAAAAAAGGTGATAAACATGTAATTTCTCCTTTTAACATCCAGATGTCATCCGGTATCCAGGAAACAGGTTATAAAAATATCAGACTGATCAGGTAGAAGTTGTTATTGTGATCTAGTACCAGATTCTCGTAGCTAATTTATAAGGAAATGTGTAGCAGCTAGATGGGAGAATTATCAACCAGATCTTGGGAACTAAAGGGTCAAGGCTTAACACCCCTATCAGGCAAAATCTGTCGAGGCATAAACATCTTCTTTCTCTGATTTCTTGTTTGACAGCCATGCAAGAAAAGAAATCGAAAAGCGAGGAGAGTTCAGAGGAGTGCTCTGTGCCTGGTAGCTCTTCAAATAAAATGGGAGATGACTCTAAAAAGTCACGAGCGAAGAGTGGAGACGAGCTTGATGAACAAGGTAGTAACAGTAGTAAGAGTAGTGGTGGCAGGAGTGGGAGCGGAAGTGGCAAGGGGTCTTCTGTTCCCTGAAGAAGAGACAGTGCAGCATAATGATCTCGCTTCTCAACTTGATGGGTCAGCCCGTGCCGAGCTGACAGTGGAGTTGAAGCTCCTGATTTTCAAACAAATTCTCTTAGCCAGTGTGATGGGAAATGTAAAGAGAACCCTATGGAAAATATATGACTACCAAATTGAATGTAATTTCGTTAAGGGTGAACTCGACCAAAACAAATCCCAAGTTACTGGTTCGTACACCAACAGGATCATTTATCGCCTCGCGTAAATGTAAATAAGAATGTGGCTAGGAATTAAAGAACTAGAAATAGGACTAAAGTGGACTCAGTACTATCCTAAACGACTACACTACGAGCAGTCCCATCAAGCGAGCACTACAATTCAGTGAATAAATTGATTTTAGCAGGCCGCGCGGATTTCGGGGAATGAGGTTTAATGAAAGTGGTGCTCGCTCCCAGAGTTCCGCGCGGCGCACTAAAATGGTTTTTTTTCGCTGACTTTTTTACTCGCACGACTTACTTCGCCGAAAGGGAGGGACTGCTCGTTGTCTTCTTAACGACGGAATTCAACCATAGAGGTCATGAGCGCAATGATGTACGCGGTAACAGAGACACGATCTTCAAACTTATTTTCAGCTCTTTCCCAAAAACACTGTAGCTTGGACAATATTCTATAAATTTGTTTGGAAAGGAATACAAGACAAGTCAACCAGTTCAGAATTGCACTTAACTCCAAGACAACGATAGCCCTTAATATCCAAGAAGACCACTTTCCTTTATAAGTAATCAATCTTTAATTGTTTTTGCCTAAAATCAACGTATGAATGTTTTAAATTTTACAATATTCATTCCTGTATATGAAGTTTTATCTAACAAGCAGTCGTATAAAGATACAAATCATAGTCACAGGCTTCCCTGAAACACAAGCAAGCAAAATTATATATTTCTTAGTAACGCTGTTCCAGACATGGATATTTCAGTCGTTGCAAAATTCCTTCAAATCTATGGCTGACTCGCTCTCAACAATTTTAAAATACTACTGAAAAAAATTCAGCATTACTAAATCGATAATGTGTCATCTAACTAAGAGCTATCCTATGCCTTTTCTTCAAAACAAAAAAGACAACAAATTGCAAGCCTTAAAATAAGAAAAGTTTGCAGCCCCAAAGTTCAAAACTTAATTGTACAAGGCTGCATAAATAACAAATAATTGTACTAGAGGTATTTGCACAGACAACTGAGTTTATGGGGAAACTCTGTACGTTAGATCTGCAACAGAGTCAACGTATGGTTACAAACATTACCATGGTTACCTTTAACATGGTAACTGCAAACCTCATCTCAAAACTGACCTTCAAAAGAGATCATTAAGTAAATTAGTGTATTTTGACTGAATGCCGTAAGACCAAAACCGAAATGTTTACAACAGCCAATCAGAATAAAGGAAAAAGGTCACAAGCAACCAACGAACTGCTCCGAGCGCGGGAAAACATGGGCAACCAAGTTTCCTTCACCAATCACATATCGAGGTAAAGCAAAACCAAAGCTATCCCGGATTACTTTTGACTCTCGATTGAAAATTGCTCTATGAATACATTGTAAGTAGACGGGTTATAGCAATAAAAAGGTTTCCTAGTATTGTCTCTGGGTAGTGAAAAGGCTAAGTTCTCTTAACGGAGCACAATACTGGTAAACAGATTTTTGCCGGAGAAATACTCTAGACGGCAATCAATTGTTGATGTAAATATATTCCTTTCTAGCTACAAGTAATATGTACCTATACGAAACCAAGATGGATCAGAATCTGCTTAAAAAGAAAGTGTTGTCGCAATCAAGCAAAATCAACTGAAAACTCAGAGGAGGAACCCGACCGAGCGGTAATAACACACAAAATATGCAAGGTGGCGCATCTACCGCCGCGACCATAACTGACTCACTAAAAAAATTTAACACCACTAGACAGAACATGACGTGTTCTAAGACATGACACGACAAGACTTGAAATGACTGCACATTAAATTTTCTAGCAAAGGACGTCGTGACTCAAAATAACGTGAGGCGATGTGTCCTAGCATCACGCGAACGAATAGAAGACTACAATTTCATTTTAATCATAGTGGTCATTACTAATCTATCTGTACTGCCGTAAAACACAATTTTAAGAAAACAGTTGGAATTCAAATTCAGCAAGGTTCATCACACCAGGTACTGTTTTTGATATTCTTCCGTGCTCTTCAATTCCATCAAGGCGTCGGCGAGCTGTTGAGCCAGGAACTGGAACGTTGGCCTTTTTTCCTCTCTGTAAGGACGACAACGATAAAAAGTCAGGTTTTTAGAGCAGCCAATCAGAACAGAGTAGAATCTCTAGGGAGCCATCAAGAACTCCGCGTAAAAAGGTGCAAACGCGTTAAAGCGCGGGTGGTTAAGTCGTGATTGTTTTCATTTCTGCCTGTGATTGGTTGGGAAAGTGTCGTGAGTTTCGTCAACCAATCACAGAGTAAAGTGAAGTAAAAGCCATTCAATTCCTGATGACTTTCGACACTGAACTAATAACTGCTCCTACTATCTCATCAATCGTCGTACCTTAAGGAGCTATAGATCGTCAAAATTTGTGCGTCATGAAAAAATCACTCGAGTTATCACTAGCAAGCCTTTTCAATCTTCTCCACTTACAAGGAGAAGTATAACAGCCAAAAGGAAGAGTTGCCATTCTGGTAGTTAAACCTTCTACACCCGAACGTCAGTATGCACATTCTCCATGTTGTTCTCCATATCTTTCCTAAAGAGCTGACAGGGAGATTTAGTTGGTGATCATTTCTTTAATTCTCGTGACCCTTATATGCGATTCAGGGGTGATATTGTTAGGAGAAATTAGACGCTAGCCATCCTTGGAGGACGAAATGTTTAAGGGCTAACCATCAAAACATTTTCAAAAAGTCTACCTGTATTCCCAACAACTTCTCATCACTTCGTACACGTTTGGTGGCACATTTTCAGGACACTGTAGTCTATAGCCAGCTTCTATCTTCTCCAAAATTACCTGTCCATTGAGTCCCTGAGAAAAGACAAATTGGTAACGTCAAAACATGAACGGAGGTATAAGGACCTTCACAAAGGGTTCTCTTCGTACTGCACTGTCGAGGTAGTTCTTATGGAAATTTGCTGAGCACTATGTCTACCAGCGACAGACCCGCTTTTCAGAACTGCCCTTCTCCTGACGATCATACGAAAAATCAACTGAGATGGAAAATGGCGCGCGACCGGAGATTAAGAAACCACGGTGATCAAACCTGCGTGACATGTGAATTTGTTACTGTACCTCGTATGGTTTCTTGCCATACGATGTGGCCTCCCAAAGCGTGACCCCGTAACTCCAAACATCACTTTTGCTGCTAAACTTCCGGTAGTAAATGCACTCTGGAGCATACCACTTAAGAGGCCATTTTCCCGGCTTACCAGCCTACAAGAGATTAGAGAACATATCATATAGACCGCTTTTCGATTGAGGGTTATAAACCCAGAACTAAAACCAAAACAATCAACACAGCCAATCATGGCAAGAAAAATATCACCACGAGCCAATGATTACGAAGTATAGGCAAACTGCCTGAAGCGCGGGAAAAAACGCAGGCGGCCAAGTCGCGATTGGTGTTAGTTTTGAATCTGATTGGTTGAAAAAATGGCGAGAGTTTTCTGGATCAATTACGCACTCTCGCTCTTCAGGCAGTTTGCTTGTTTTTACTTTGAGTTCTCATTTGTTTTTCTAGTCCTATTTTTCTTCACCCTTGGTCTTACGTTATTTTTAAACCCTTAACATCCTGACGTCAAAATGCATATCATCCACACTGATTTAGACATTTCTTATGGAGCTACAGAGGATAATTCTTTAAACAGTCAAGAGCCTCTCTAGTAAACGATCATTTCCTATTTTCTCATGACCTCAATGTTTGATTCACCGGTGATAATGTTTGGAGAAATTAGATGCAAGTCACTCTGCGGCGTTAAAGGATTAATCAAAGTGCGCTCTATCACAGGACACCCACCTTATAATAGTCACTTCCCGCTCCCATTGCACGAGACATTCCAAAGTCACTGATCTTGACGAAGTCCTCATTAACAACTAGTATATTTCTAGCCGCAAGGTCTCTGTGCACAAACTGCATGTTTTCAAGATACTGCATTCCCTGTGAACAGAAGTCATATTGATGAATAATAATAATTGCTGATTATTTCTGAGCTAGCCAATCAACGTGCGCGAATTGCACTTTTCACCTGTGTGGTATATCCTGTACAACTGGCACGGGATTAACGTCTCAAAAATATTGTAGTCGTTGCCCGAAAAACGAGTTAAAATCATCTTTTGTACAATATAATCTCACTGTTTAGTATTTATGAAAGTAACTATTTATCACGGTGTAAGTGGCTAGCGTTGGATATCTATCTCGCTGATTCACAACTCGGTAAATATCCACCATTAGTCACCCACACTTCAGTGAATAGTTGTTAAATATCTATTATTAGTATAATTTCAGAGCTGAGCAAAGAGTTTCCAGCAATCTGATTGGTCGAGCGGTTCCTTATATGACGCTATATAAACCGCTCCACGCGGTTTATATAAAATGTTAAAATAAAATGTTAATAATTGTTACTAAAATGTTATGATTTTAGAAATTTCTCTGTTGTTCAGCTCTGAAATTATACTAAAACAATTATTCGTCGAAGGCGAGGTGAATATTGTCGAATAATCCCCTCGACTTCGTCTCGGGGATTATTCGACGATATTCACCTCACCTTCGGCGAATAATTGTTAAATACGAATCTACTAACGTTCTATCACAAATGCCGTTATTTGATTGGCTACGCTTCTCGTTATCTAAGTAACCAATATTCTATGTTACTGTGGTTCTGTTCAGTGAGAGATCATAGAGGATGTCAAAATATAGTGACAACAACAAACGCAGCTTCTCCTTAAAGAAACATCTAGAGCGTAATTCGTTTGGGTGTCGAAAGTAATCCGGGTTTCACTCGTTTGGCTTTCCTCGCTCTGTGATTGGTTAAAATAAATCGCGCCATTTTTCAACCAATCAGATTCAAAACTAAACCAATCGCGACTAACTATGGTCGCCCGTGTTTTCCCGCGCTTGAAGCTTACACTAAGCAATAATTGGCTTGCGGTGATATTTTCTTTGTGGATGTAAAACTAACCAAGGCACGCTAACCGCGCTTCAGACTATTTTGGCATTTTTATTTTGAGCTCTCATTGGCTGCTTATGATATTTTCCTGTCATCTGATCGGCGGTTGTTCGTCTTTTGGTTTCACGACACTCAATCGGAAAACCCTTCTCGACCTTGCTCACCTCGGCAACTTGCAACATTATGACGAAAATTTTGAACATCGGCAAAGACCTACAAAAATTGAGAAAAGAATCATTGTAAGATTAGGGAAAATTGAGAAAAGGAAGCATTGAAAACAGATTTAACGTCTGTACTAATGTCACCTTCTGGTCATTATTTCACTTGTTTTCAGACTTCTCTAGCTCTGGTTGTTTCAGTCACTGTCTTGCCCAGTGATTCATTCCCTGTTTACCACTCCCAAGATCTCATTAGTACTGACTTCTCTTTACTGTTTGCCATGCAATTCTTATGAGGTCAGTTCTGAGAATTTGGGATCGGATCAACTAATAATCCTTTAATTGACATTTTTCTTTATTCTTATCACTTGTTTGCTTGATATTGCATTCATAAAGTAAGGAGAAATTCTGTCTTGGTCACTCATGAGAGTTAAACAGTTAAGCTGACAGACGTAAGTCACTCAGTGCAGTGGTTGAGGTCAGGTGCAAGTAATCTAAACCTAGAATTGTAGATTATAGCAAGCTTACTTGTGTTTTTTGAGGTATTTGTGAAGTGGTCCTTCAGGAGCCAATTCCATCACTAGCATAACTGTTGTGTCTTTACAAATACCTATGATAACAATGAAAGAAATTGCAAAGCTCCACCACAGAAGATGACTAAGAAAGACAACAGCAAACTGTTTTAAAGTTTCCACATACAATCTGATTATAATAATAATAATAATAATAATAATAATTATGGCATTTATATAGCGCCATACATACTAACTGCCCTATGGCGTTTCACAATTCTACAGTAATTTATATATAATAATTTAATTTAATCTTCTCGATTCTAAGCTATCCCTGCCCATGCTTCACTCATCAAAATTTTCGCTTTAGTGATTTTGCATCTCACCAAGAAAGTATTTGTTAGAGTCTTGTGAACTCAAGGTACAGCAATTTTGCTTAACAAGCGGAGAGCATTATCCATACTCGGGAAGTCAGCCTAGGCTACAGTAAAAGTATAAAGGAAGTAACTTTCTAAAGAAACTGCAGTGCTGCATTGACAGGGGTATTACAAGATAATTTGATTTTTTAACTCATCGGCACTGATGAGCTTGGAGGAATGTGCCATAGCTCTGTGGCAATTGCGCTGACTGCCCACAGCAGGGAGGTTACCATGGCGCCACAACCTTGGTCCACCCCCCTGGCACCAGTCACACCGACAAGTCAGTGGAATTGTTTATACTTACCAACAATTGACTCACCATAGAGGAGGGAGGGTGGGAACACAACAAGCAGCTCATGTCGAGATCCGCGATGATCTCAAAACGTACTGAGCACCATGTGGCCCTGCAATTGCAAAGGGGTGCCCCCCGCAGCCTGACCCCCCACTGACCAGCGTGCCTCGATTTTAACCTTGCCTAAATTTCATTCAGCCTCATTATCCGGGTAGCAGGGATGGTGTAGTGGTGGGAGCACTTGCCTCCCATCAATTCCTGAACCTGGTGTCACATGTGGGTTGGGTTTATTGCACTGTGGGTTTTTCTCAGGGTCCTCCTGATTTCCTCCCTCCACAAAAACCAAAATTCTAAATTCCAATTTGAACTGGAAACATCGGACAGGCAGAGCTACCTCCTGGAATATCCACTGCTAAATCCCACCCTATTCATTCTAACTCTTTCTTTTATTTTCATTTTTTATCATTATTCTTATCAACTGAGTTGATAACATAAATTGGTAACGTTAAAAAGTTTTTAAAACTGATGTTTGAAGCAATAGCCCTTTGTCAGAGTGAAAGTAAATTTAAAGTGCCCTTCAGTGACTCTGTACTCTACCTATTATCCTAACAATATTTGGGTGATCCAACTTCATCATGACTTCGGCTTCATGCATAATTTCCGACTGAAAAAAAATGAGAAGACATTTTAGATCAGTTGATAATGTGTTAAATTAAGAATATCATACGCCATAAAATTAATAGAATCAGATCACTGAGAAGAGAGCGGCACAAAAGCTTTGTAACAAAATATAACCATGGAGGTCATATACAGTAATTAAAAAAAAAACACTAAATGCTGAGAACTGGAAAGTATAGTCAGCTGTGTGGTAGTCTGTAAGAAGAGCTTGTAGCCAGATCTTGGAAGTAAAAGGGCAACATACAAACTCCAACTTTCCGATGGTTTTTTAAGTCAGTTTGCATGATTAGTATAACTAGATGAGATTAGGATCATGCACTTCACCTTCCCCCTTAACCCTTTGACTCCTAGAAGTGATTAACATGTAACTCTTCCCTATAATATCTACACATTATCCAACAAATAGGTAATGAGAATACTCAAACTTTTCAGGCAGATGTTGTTTTCTTGATCTAACACCAAATTCTTGTAACTAATTTACAAGGAAATGTGTAACAGTACAAGGGGAGAATTAACAATCAGATATCTGGAGTTCAAGGGCAAACAGTATACAGCTGAGTTACATGCTGTATGCCCTTGAATACATTTACCTGTCCGTCGATTAACAAAATAATTCTAATGGATTAACCAATAAATGGAAAATGGAAAATTATTTTGAAGGTCATGTATACAGACTTACATGTGGATTATTCATTTCTTCAGATTTCAGTTTCTTCACAGCCACTGGAATTTGTTCCCCATTTGACTTCGTGTACTCTCCCTTAAGAACTGAGCCAAAGTTTCCATGGCCTACAATAGAAAGTGTTTCAATTGAGTGCCATAAAACCAAAACCAAAGTAATTAATCACGGCCAATCAGAAGCAAGGTCAATAGTCCATAATTTTACATTTGCATACTTGGTTGCCAAGCCTTTGAACAGGAGTGAGGCTAAGGGTGACCTTGTTATGATACAAATATTATTGCTTTTTTTATGAAATTAACTTTGTTGTCATGCTAACTAGATACTGGTCTCTATTACAAAGGCTTGGCAACTAAGAACAGAACTGTAAAATAGCCTATTTCAAAAGGAAATAATTCTAACTCAAATAAGCAAACATGCAACCACTTGATTGAAAATTTACCTACACAATGTTGTGGCTTCATTATTTCACCATTCAAAGATATATATGGGGCATATGAAGAAATGTTTTGTGGCTGGTGCATGTTTGAACAAGTAACAACTGGTCAACGTTCAGAGCCTTGGAGAACAGGGTCCAGTTGTTCGAAGGCCGATTAGCGCTAATCCTGGGTTATCTTGAACCCAGCTATGAACAACCCGGCCCATGCCAGGTGATTAAAAAGTAACTTGATCCAGCAGACAGGTAAGTAGTAATAGGAGCCAGCAAAGGAGAGCCAATCAGGTTTGAGTAATGAAAAATAACACTAGGCAAATATTGGATGAGGTTGAGCATGATATCATGAATAAGCAAATCTGGGCCGTGTTGTTCAAAGGTGGGTTAAGATAACCCAGGGTTACGTGAAATTTAATTGCAGATCTGAAAGCTTTAAAATTAATCGCACTTTTATTCCATTTGTTTACAATTGAGTGATTGAATGCTCTAAGAAGAATTGGGAAAATTATCTTAAAACAGCTTTTAAAAAGAGAAATATAGAAACCTGGATAAAAATTTAACCCTGGGTTAGCCGTAATTGGTCTTCTAAAAACTGGGCCCTGAGGTCTAAGCTATAGATAACACAGACACAAGGCTTGATAATTGATCATGATATCATGCAGAAACTGAATTTGATAATTGTTTTTTTTCATAGTACATTATTTGAGTTTTGAGTTTTTGAGTTTTTATAGATTTGTACAGTGTACAGGTGAGAGAACAATAGGATGTGTAGTCCCCTATATTAAAGCTACTGGTTTCACCCACCTAAATCAACCCCAACCCACCCATCCCACCCCAGGGGAGGAGATCCATCATGCAGTAATCTCATGCGTGGGAAATTAACGTCTCCTACCCTTAACCCTGCAGGAGAAGGGACCTCCATTTATTTGTCCCTATCTAAGAAGACTAACATAATGGTTAGAGCATCTAACCATTAGTTGATGTTGTAGAAAGGTAGCATGTTCTTCTCAATTATTTTAAGACCTTGAGTGTTGGTTTGGCCGTGGCTCGAACCCTCGACCTCCCGCACAACAGTCCAACGCTCTATCCATTGAGCTAACAGGGAGGCAGCATTTGATTATTCAAACAAGCTGACCAATCAGAGTTTTCAGAGTAGTCTAATGTACAATGATCAAACTTATTACTAATGCGTAGGGGCTGTTATCTTGTTTTACATGGAACACCACATTCTAGTAACTAATTTAAAAGGAAGTGTGTAGCAGCAAAGAGGAGAGAATTAACAATTGAATCTTGGGAGCTCAGGGGTTAACCTACCTAATTCTCTCTCAAGTTTCAAATTTTCACGCCTGAGTTTTCTCGCTTGCATATCTTTAAACTGATTGAAGTAAAAGGAGCTTTTCTTCATTTTGACACTGTCATATATTGCATCAAATGCTGCACCTCTGGAAGCCCCTGCTGTTGCTGCTGCTGCAAAAGGATGGAGTTAAAACACGTGTTACAGGAAATGCACTCGAGAACCGTACAGTTATACTGTATCAAAGAAGGAATACAGCTCTCTTGAGAAAGCCGGGTTATGAGAAAGAAAGGACATTTAGGTATCAGGTCATCAATTAATTTCAATAAGTTGAATAAATAGAAAAATACATTTATGATGTAATGCTTTGTCCTTACAGTGTTGTTTTCTTAGATATAATATTATAGGCTGTTGCATGGAGTTAAATCTTGTACTCATCTATTTCCACACTATCAAAAGATAAACATGTATGAAAAAAAGCTATCAGACTGAGTTTAATTGTCTGACCCCTTAGAGTAACTAGCATCTAATTTCTCCTTACAATATCACCCCTGAATCACACATTAAGGTCAGGAGAAAAAGGAAATGATCAACAACTAAAAAAGCTTATATTAATCAAATTCTCCTTGTCNCAACACATTATAACCCAACCATGTCTTGGACCCAGACTCTTCAACCCACAATCTAACACAGAAACCTTTAGGATGCCTACAGTAAGTCTCCCTTTGGGAACTATATCATAAGCTGAATTATTCACATATGATGTGATAGAATCCCATTAACAGAGCTCTACTATAAAGAGTATGAACAACTGCACAGGGAAGGGTTTGCACAGAATAAAGCCTTAACCCTATGAAACCTACAGAGTGACTGGCATCTAACTTCTCCTTACAATATCACCCAGGAATCACACATTAAGGTCACGAGAATAAAGAAAATGATAACCAACTAAAGAAGCTCTTGATTGTTAAACAAATTCTCCTTATCAGCACCTTAGGAAATGTATCGAGAACAGTATGGAGAAATCGCATACTGATGTTAGGGTATAGAGGGTTAACTGACTGTCTTTTGATACAAACCTAATTTTCCTTGTGTTTCACGAGGAAATAAAAACAAATTGTGAAGAGAGTCCAGCAGTCTATGCACTTCTGTGCTACTAACCTCCATGTAGAAGGTCTGGGACATTGGCAGTTCCACCCTGAAGAAATGGGTTTGAAGCAAATGGAGAAGTTTCAGTGAAAGATCTACTGGGTGGTCTGTTGCCAGTAACAATTCTTGGTTCTTGATCAGAGACACTCGGTGGCCGTGCACCCACTGAAATCCTTCTTCGACCTTCAAACAGCTCCACATTACAGGGTTCCTTTAACTTACAGAGAAGACCATCTTCTCGCTGGGCATAATGATCCACAGCTAACATCAGGTTGTCAAATTTTGGACCAGATTTTATTGATAATCTGCCTTGTTGGTCGACGTCAAACAAGTAATGCACCACTGAGCCTTCATGGCACAAACCAAGGACATATCCTGAATCCCTTTCACGGATAAGGAACATTCCATTTTGGTATCCTAACACAGAAAGCCTTCTTTCAGCTTCATCACGTGAAATCACTCCATGGAACCACAACTGATTTTTGTGCAAAACTGAACCTATTGCACACTCCAATTTAGCTCTCATCAAAGTTGCAGTAGTTTCATCTCCATCCTAGGAAACCATGAAGAAATCATTCATAATCTGTAACCCTTAGTCCCAGCCTGTATTATTCATTCAGTCAGTTGCTATAACAGCTGCAATCCATTTGTTTGTCAATTGCTCAGTCTGTCACCCACTCAGTTAGCAAGCCATTCAGTCAGTCAGTTGACCAGTCAGTCAATCAGTTTGAAAGTCAGAAAGAAAGTCAGTCAGTAAGCCAGTCAGTCAGTCGTCATTCATATAGTCAGCCAGTCAATCAAGCAGTATTTAGTTACTTAGTCACTCCCAGTCAGTTAGCCAGTCAATCAGTCAGTCATTCAATCAGTCCGTCAGTCAGTCAATTGCAATCTGCCAGTCAGTCAGTCAGTCAGTCAGACAGTCAGTTGGTCAGACAGTTAGTCAGTCAATCAGTCAGTCAGTCATTCAATCAGTCAATCAATCAGTCAATCTGCCAGTCAGTCAGTTAGACAGTCAGTTAATCATCCACCCACTCATCAATAGCAAATAAGTCAGTCACCGGTCAATCTGGTCAATCAGTCAATCTGCCAATCAGTCAAACCGGTCAATCAGTCAAACCGGTCAATCAGTCAATCTGCCAGTCAGTCAGTTAGACAGTCAGTTAATCATCCACCCACTCATCAATAGCAAATAAGTCAGTCACCGGTCTGTCAGCCAGTTGGCCACCCAATCAACATTAATGAGTCAGTCAGTCTGTAAGCTAGTCTGCAGTCAGTCAGTCATAGATACACTGGATCAGTCAGTTATAATTTCAGTCACACATTCAATTCATTTATCGTTATGAAGCACATGAAAATACACTCACTTAATATAATTATCAAGTAATTCTAGAATAACATATTTCCAGTTCATCAATACAATAAAACTCATCAGATTAAATGAAAAAGTTAATAATTATTAAATAATACTGGGTCTGGTAGACCTAAAAGTGTGTATATGCACTTGGTTCAAACAAACCTGTATGCCCATAGATGCCATTGCAGCAATAGCTGCATCTTTTATATGTTCCTGATTAGCACCAGAGTAAGTTTTTGGAGGTACCCCTGGGAGCCTATTACACGGATCAGTTAGCTTTGATAATAACCCATCTAGGCAAGTGTGATGATGATGTATTAACTCCACAGGTCCCAGGAACTTCTTCCCATCTTCAATGGCTACTGTACCATCAGAATGCCGTTGAATGTGATAATGAATAATCTTGTTGTTATGGCACATGGAAAGAGCATAGCTTCCTGCTGAGGCAGTACTTTCACGCAACAGAAACAACCCATCTTTCTTGCCATGGCGTGCCAGAATCTCTTCTGCTTCTGTACGATTTATACGCCCATGAAACCAGTGCTGAAACAGTGGATCAGCCATTTCTGAGTTAGTTTTCTCATCTGCTTTAGTTCAAGATTCTGCAAATAACATTAGAAAAATTCCATGAGTTTAATAAAGTCTTGTCATGAAGAAGCTACAATTTTTACTTCAAAGTTGTAATATAACCCTTTTAGCCATGAGTGATAAGCAACTTATTTTTCCCAACAGTATCATCCCTGAATCAAACATAAGGGTCATGGGAAGAAAAGAAATAATCACAAACTCAAAATGAGAATATCAGGACCACCTTTCTTATTCTATTTACAAAACATGACGCT